GAGTACCTGTCCCCTGAAAAACGGCTTAGTTTTAGTCTCTGAGCAATGGACTTTCTAGTTGTGTAGCAAGAGACGTTTATCGTTTTCAATAACCACGTTTTAGAATACTGTTATAGACAAGCTGGAGTACCTGTCCCCTGAAAAACGGCTTAGTTTTAGTCTCTGAGCAATGGACTTTCTAGTTGTGTAGCAAGAGACGTTTATCGTTTTCAATAACCACGTTTTAGAATACTGTTATAGCAAGAGACGTTTATCGTTTTCAATAACCACGTTTTAGAATACTGTTATAGACAACTAGAAAGTCCATTGCCTAGAGACTAAAACTAAGCCGTTTTTCAAAACTGATAATTAAAAAAAATCAAAGTGGCCTTTTCTTACCAAATTTATTCAACATGCCAATTGCTAAGTAACTAAAATTATGGTTCATGTTTGTATTTTCTCAGATCAATCTGTTCAATGTGGCCGTTGCTAGGTTATTAAAAATGCGTTGGATTCTCCAGTCTGATTTGGTTGCATAAAGAATAGTTGTTTTAGTGTCATATATAATGTCTTCATACGTCTTAAAATATCAAGTCAGGTAATTCAACACTTACACTTTTCGTGCACAACCTTACATACCACCGCCCTTAGCCCGGGGCAAGGCAAGCCCATGACGCCACGGGACACGTGAGTGTAGTATCTCTACCATATTAGGAAGAGAAGGTAGAATATTCAAAGGTTTCGATGAGGTGACGTCATACAGTGATATTAGCAAATTAGGGCATACAGAAAATGTGAGCCCACAGATGTAAACATTCGAAATAACAACGAGGTCACCCACTAACAACTACATCTGGCGTGAATATTACAAAATAAACTGTGATAATGCCAGTTACTCGCTGTTTCCTACAATAAACACTCATTATTATTGTACCTTTCTCGCTAATTCTCCCGAAACTCAAGTAATTTTACAAGCATACTGCAACTGATAAAGTAATGTATGAATATATTCAGATGAAGGGTAACAGGGATTATGATATAAAATGTTTCCTACCTCGTGAGTTTACTAAACAAACCAATACTAAACGCCCATAGATATGATACACTAAGATCGTCCCACCGTTTCAATCTTGTCCATGTATAATTACTACGACCCATGTGTCGTTTTTACTTGGTAACGTAAAATTATGTAATCATCCGGGTGTTTTCGGTCGCGTGTATGCACGGCTCGTGCTTTTTTACTGTACATATTAATAATCAAAGTTTGCTTGTGCGTGACATCCGTTTAGCACAACATCTAAAAATTATTCCTACATTGATGTTAGTTTCGGAGAAACGTGATATTACGACCCACCTTAGGTTTCTTCCGAGGCTTCGTTTCGGATGTTTTCTTGTAAATACGTTTCGCCTTCTCTGCAAATTCGGAGTCAGTTGACGTGGCGCTGCTTCGCCGAGGAAGAGCTTTAGTTTGCGTGCCAGCGTGGTCCGTGGTATGGGTCTCGGGTGAACTTACCGTCTTGTGCTCACCTCGGGTCAATGTGGTCGTTTTCCGTATAATGCGTGAAGTCTGGACAGTTCGGAGGCCGCTCCGGTTGTGTGCTGTCCGATAAACCTCGCGAGACTCCTGCGAGGCAGACGCCATTTGTGCACGGGTCTGGTAGACAGCCTGCACAAGAGAGTCTTCCGGCTCCAGTTGATCGCCGGGGTCCGGTACATTGTCGGCATCATCTCGTTCACGCGATCCTTTCACAAAGAGTCTCGAGCCACGCACAAACGAATACATGATGGTGCTAGTTCATAAATAAAGCACCAGGTAACACTGATACACGGAGTAAGATTAACAGACCGGCTGTGGCTCCGAAGTCCACAACAGTGGACACTCTTCGCTAGGCCTAAGCTTTCTGCTGTTACCCGTGTTCGCCGAGAAACCAGTTTCCAGAAATGACTAGTGCAATGTTGTACAGGTAAAGAACAAGCCGAGTTACGCCGACAGCAACAAAGGAGCGATACACCAGCGGCAGAGTAACGTACAACACTGGCACGATGGAGAAGTCAGACGGCCGGTAAAGTCGGCTGCTTCCCTCCCCACCGTTTAAATAATCATAACGCCCTCGGTGATGCGGGACTTGCCTGACCTGTTTGGCCCACCGACCGACCGCCCCAGTGTGGGGGACACGACCCACGCAGCGCCGCGATTCTTGTTACGTACCAACAGCCGTACAGAACATAGCAGTAGCACCCGAAGCGTGCTTGTATAGTCTCGATATGACCAACTGGCGAAATGGCCAGCCCAACTCGAGTGTTCATTTATTCATTCAGGTAGACTTGTTGAATGTAGATAAACTCGTCTCGACTGTAATAGGTTAAGTTCCTATTTGACAACATCGAAACTGATACATATAATCGTTCAACTAGCGGATTCTTCATAAAAATTAAACTTAATTTTATAAAATAAAAGTTATGGTATTAAATATACTATTTGACTTTTATCAATTTTTTTTCTTGTCAGTTATTATTATTTTTTAAATTCTTGTACTATTAACACGTGTTTTGTAACTCTATAAAACTGTTCAAAACTTTTTTCGAAATGTTGTGAAAATGTAGGTGGCGTGGATAAGACACGCCCCGCACACGTCACAACCACCCATCACGTGCTATTCCGAGTAAAACGGCGCGCCCCACGTAAGTGTGCAGGTAAATATTTAGCTGAGGAAAAGCTTCACATTACTCAAATCGTGAATGTGTTTCGTACAGTTTTGTCAGATACTAACACTCTGTCTACCCTAAAAATCTGTAGAAGCAATTAGAATCACTCCTTATTTTCAGATTTAAAAAAATCAGGCGAATCAAGTATTTGTTATTTACTGAATCTGACGGAAACGTGACGCAATATCTCTTCGCTTCAACGCCACTTCTTCATAAATAACATGGAGAAGAACAGGTCAGGGTTTCACGGAGCTTGTTTTTATAGGAACACTACTAACAGGTCAGGGTTTCACGGAGCTTGTTTTTATAGGAACACTACTTAAAGGTCAGGGTT